AATTTTTGGCGGTACTGTAATGGCAAACTTGGGTTAAAATGGGGGTAAGGGAATAATATGGTACGACTTTTTAGAAAGTTAAACCTTGTTATAGGTTATACTTAAAGCTAGCTGAAATATGATTGGAATTATTGAGATATTTTTGTGTCTTTCTGTGTTGTTTAAATACGAGGACGAAATTTTTGAAAACTGTTTACATTTGTTGATTAAAATATTTGAAAAATTATAGCAACTTTTAAAAATCCATAAAAAATACATATTTATTAAATCGTATACTAATTCCATTCATATTATGTAGGGTAGCTCCCAGGCTATTAATTCCTTTAAGCAAAAACGTATAGTTTATAAAAAATAAACATTTTTTTCCAAAATAATATAATCTTTGTTTGAATATCAACAGGATAATATAATTTTTGAACACGATACATCGTATTGTTCAAACTGAGCTCACAAAGATTAAAATACTAAACATATAGAATCTGTTCAATGAGAAAAATAAATGATTTTGGCATGACACCCAAAAAATGAACTCAAAAAATACATCTGTTTTTGAAATAAAATGACAGAAAACAACTTTTGCGTCTTCTATATATGGACAGATTATACGGGGTGTCCCAAAAATAAGGGCAAGTATTTTAATTGGTAGTATAGTTCAGCCCGAGAAACACGCCTGTGAGGTTTTTTCGAGAAAAAAAAAATTTGAAAATTCGAGATTTTTTGAAAAATTTTGTAGAATCTTTTTTAGTTTTTAGTTAAAGAACATAATTTCTTGATAATATGGCAACATAGGTATTAGATTAAATTTACAATAAAGAAAATTCAGAAAAGATCCAGTGGTTCTCAAAATTTTAGCAAAAAATAATTTATTTTTGGAAATCTTCAAAGTAGAATAACTCCGTTATTTTGGACTTATTTGAAAAACGATACAGAGAAAATATGTTTCTTTTATCGAGATCTACCACCTCTTAAAATACTTGCTCTTATTTCTGGGACAACCTGTATATAAAATCAATGTAAACTCAATGCGAATTCATATTAATTTAAACAAAAAGTTTATAAAACTATAAATCTGAAGATAGTAAATTTATGTTAAAAGAGAATCGTTTTTTTCAAATAGATTACTAAAAAACTCGAAAATATTAAGAATTTTTAATTTAAAAATTATTTTACATAATTTATTTGTATTTGATACGCTTTTTGTACACTAATAATTTTTAATGTTATAAAAAAATATCTTTAGAAATTCGCTTAAAAAACTTTATAATTTTTAAAATAATATTCTAAAATTTAATCCATCTTGTACTGAGCGTAAAAAAATTATGTGTTTTTAAAGTTTATTAAAATAATTAAAACATAGTTATAAGACAGAATAAAAAGGTAGTTTTTTAGAAATAACCTAGCATTTGTATCTGGTAATAGGAAAGCCTAAGTAAGTCTAATTTTTCTATTCCTTATTACTTAGGAGCACCAAAAATTGCGTAAACACTCTATAGAAACGTGATTAGAATCAGTTATGTAGCTCTTAAAAATAAAACTGGTATACAAATGTATAAGACGTATATTATAATGAATTTTACTTGTAATATATTATGCTTTAAAAGTAAAATAATTGTTCAAAAAATCTCCCACTAAATTTTAAAATATTTTATCTGATTTTAAAATAGTTATAATAGGAAATATTTAATTACTAAAGACCAAATTTTGTATTAAGTATCTATCTAAATTATTTTTACGTAAATTCAATTGAGTATCAATAAAATATTTGATAATTATTAATATAGTTTTTTAATTTTGTTTTCTGTATGTTTTTATACAGTACGAAATCAAAGTCAAAACTCACCTATCACATTCACTTCTCCACTTCTTCTCGCACTATGTCCCTGTTTATTCCTCGCCCAGCAAGTGTACACACCAGAATCTTCCTTTTTCTGGACAGGCTCGATGATTAGTGTACCATCAGGCAACACCTAGAAAAACACAAAAAATTTCAATAAGTCTTTATTTTGTCTCATTTGTAACTTCGAAAAAAAAATCTAACCTTCTGTCTTAGACCGTTGGGTAGCTCACTCCCACTTCTTTCCCAGTGAATTTCCTCGATTGGATACCCAGCTACAGGACACTTCAGCTTCAGCTGCTCCCCAGCTACAGCTGTTACTTTTGGAATCAGGCGAATGTAGGGCATGCCTGAAAAAATAAACGTAAATCGTCAGCAAGAAAATTGTGAAAAAGCAGAAAATTTTAGAGATACAAGTATTCCTAGAGAAATTTTGAAATATTTTTTTTTACACAATATTATAGTTAATTATTATACTGGGTGGTCCATCTGCGTTAGGAACGTTATGCGAAGTCTCTTCAAAGACTTTTTTGATAAGAGACTTCGCATTTTTCTCACGACTTACAAGATCGCCACAACGATTCACTCCTAGACACGTAAGAACTGACCCAAGACTGTCACTTCCCGATATGGTATGTTAATACGTCTCTAAATTTACTTATTTCTCTGAGCATGAAATAAATGCAGCGAGCTCCTTTCGAGCCGGCAGCGTTTCGGAGAAAAATAGGGCTTGCAAAATAAAAAGCGAGCCAAAAAAAAGCAGGAGGTTGCGTTTGTGCATTTCACTTGCAAGCAAGCGTGTCGAAAGCGCCGGGATGAATTTCCTAGCGTCAGAATATTCTGCTACAGACAAGGATAAAGTGGGCTAGCAGCTCAGGGAAACGTTGACCTTAAAGCGAAATAAGCAAAGGGTTGTATAATATGTTCTTGTTTCGTATATGTCTTGCTTAGAACGACAAAAATGCTAATATAACAAATATATTTGTTATATTCT